AAGTTATCTGGGTTGTAGGCTTACTCGCAAAAACGTGTCTCCCGTAAGCCGCCATAAAAAAAAAGAAAAGAAAAATGAAAGCCGTTTACAATTCCCTGTAACGCCGGTTAGAGCGCAGCTCTTGAGGAGGAAGATGGAAGCGTACTGAGGGATAGGTGACTCCTTGAGGTCACGTGACCCCCTTAGGTCACGTGATCTCCTTAGGTAACGTGACCCCCTGAGGTCACCTGACCCCTTGAGGTCACGTGACCCCCAAAAGTCACGTGACCGCCTTGAGGTCACGTGACCCCCTAAGGTCACGTGACGCCCTGAAGTCACGTGACTTCTGGGGATCATGTGACCCCCTGAGGTCACGTGACCCATGAGGTCACGTGACCTCATGGGGTCACGTGACCTCAGGGGCTCACGTGACCTTTGGGGGTCACGTGACTTCGGGGGTCACGTGACCTGAAGGGTCACATGACCTTAGGGGGTCATGTGATCCCCAGAAGTCACGTGACTTCAGGGGGTCACGTGACTTCTGGGGGTCACGTGACCTCAAGGGGTCAGGTGACCTCAGGGGGTCATGTGACCTAAGGAGATCACGTGACCTAAGGGGGTCACGTGACTTCAGGGGGTCACGTGACTTCTGGGGGTCACGTGACCTAGGGGTGTCACGTGGACTGGGTGGGTCACGTGACCTTGGGGGGGTCACGTGACCTCGCGGTTACGCCGACGCCGACGGCGACGGCGACGCCGACGCCGCTCAAGCCGGAAACGGGCCCCTAAGAGCTGCGCTCTAAAACGGTTTGTTTACCCGCTGACTGCGGAGATCTGACGCTCTGATTGGAAACCATTTTACACGACCGTCGATTTGAAGTTGTTCATGGCAGTTTTGGAACGCGGTACAAACACATAGCCTATTCGCCTGTCCTTGTTCCCCAAGTTAACTTCAGTCGAAGCGCCGCACACTTTGCGCGTGCACACTTCACCGAAGAATTCTTCGCAAGCACTCGAAATTTGGCGACTGGTGAAAATATTACATTGTTACGCGGTATCACAGCTTCCCTCCTAAATTTAGGAGCAAAACCGTGACTTCATGAGACAGAATATCACATCTCGCTCCGATATCCCAAGGTTACTCGACGCAACATTACTAGATCTGGTCAGTTGTGATACTTCGGCAAAAGGGGGTACCCGTCCCCAACCTCCCCTCACTCCCTTCGGTCTGCCCTCCGTCTTTTGAAGCGCCATCGATATTTTAATTTCAAAACTGTGTGTTCTATAGAGTACAGTGAAACGCCATCTAGACGGTGGGCTTGTAGACAAACGTAGAAAATGCAATGTAGTTACCATAGCAGCCTATACTCCAAAACGGAGGTGCATCAACGACGGGAGGTGAATCCTGGCATGGCCTTAGGGGGAGAGGGGGGGGGGGGGGGCACTGCTCGTGCAAGCAGCGTAAATGAGCAGTTAAGTTGCAGAGCTAATCTGGTAACGTTTTCTTGAGGTGGCGGATATTTGCTGTGACGTCACATCGCATGACGTCATCTGGAGTCTATTTCCCTGCAAGGTTTCGTCTGGACAGTTATCATGTCACGTCACAATGACTAGATAACGTCACTGAGCTCCCGCTATATTCCCAGCTGTAATTAGCTGTGGATTCGTCCGCTAAATCTAAAATGGGGAAAATCTTTACGAGCCGTCGAAGTGATACGTGAGACCGGAACTCCCCGCTAAATGTAGCAGGAAGCGTTCCGTGCTAAATCTAGCGGGCCACACCACCCACCATGTAGCATACACACACCGGGATCTACCGGAAAACCTCGCCTATAACGGACAATTAGCTTGAGAGGTAGAGTTTTTTGGAACACTCATTGGCGCTTCAGGAAATGGACTCCAGATTATCTCCTCCTTCACGTCGCGTACTCACTGATTTTGGATTTAATGCAAAGAGAGATAGCGGACCAGGAGATAGTAAGTGTACCGTGGCTTCATGTTAACCGAAATAACGACAACGAAAGCGCGTATTGACCGACTAGGAATGCTGGTATTAAAAATATGATCCGGAATATTTTAAGATTAAGCGCAGAAATAGTTATGCTTTTCTCTCGCGATTCAGCAAATTGTGTCAACTGTGGTACGAGTGTCTTACGACTGATCAAAAGCATAGGTTGCAAGGCAGTTCAGTATTTAAATGTTTTAGAAAATGTTATGTTATTTTTACTATTACGAGATATATTTAGGTGGGAGGGTCGGTATTTTTGTCTCACTATCAGGTTAAATAATAATTTCAGAAATTGATTTTAGCAGGATGTATTTTTAATACAAAGAGAAAAATGTCTTTCCCGATTGTTTTCTAAATTTATGGCATCCCATTATGTGAACGCAAAAATACTCCAAAAGCCGGGAGACCCCATAATTAAAATAAGTACACCGACTTGACATAACAGAAAAAACAACTTCATTAGACGTTTCGCCTCCCATGCGGGAGGCATCATCAGTAGTTACACAGCAAATGCAGGGTTCAACCTAAACACAACGCTATTTATCACGAATGTCCGTGTAAGCTTCGTGGAGAGGGCCGCGGTTTTTGTTGCACACGGATGTGTCCCTGCGAAGAAACCACGATTCTAGAAGCTTTCGGGGCCCCCATCTGTCCTCTCTCGCCAAGGTCGTCGCGGCCGGAAAGTCGAAAGAATGCCCCATTGTCCACGCATGGTCCACCAGTTCAGTCTTCAGTCGCGTCGCGTGGGATGCGTACGTGACGTCACGCTTGTGTTCTTTGAGTCTGGTATCTCTCCTCCGTCCGGTTTCACCAATGTAGGACGCTGGGCAGTCACTGCAGGGGATCTTGTAGATAACGCCTCTCTGGACGTTCGCCGGGGTTGGGTCCTTTGGTTTGGAAACGGAATTTCCAATAGTTCTGTATGGCTTGAAAACAGTTCGGATGCCAAGGGGCCTCAAAGCGCGACTAAGAGGTTCGGAGACTCCTTTGACATAGGGGATGCACACTACATTCTTATCTCTTTCCCTTTCGCACGGTTCCACATTTTGTTTCATTTTGTTTTTGACCTCGTCAACAAAACGCCTCGGGTAGTGACGTTTCACCAAAGCTCCCTGTAAATGAGTCATCTCATTTGCGCCATGGAGCTCATTAGATGACACGGTATTTGATCTCTGTACAAACGATCGCACTACTGATTTCTTGTGTTGCACTGGGTGATGGGACAAAAAATCCAAAAAATTATCTGTTTCACATGGTTTGCGGTACACCCCCGTTTCAATCCTGTGGTTCGGCTCGCCTGTCCTTATTACAGATACATCTAGGAAGGGCAATTTGCCCTGCTGTTCTGCCTCGCAAGAACACTGTATCGCGGGGTGAACACTGTTTAGCTCCCGGTGGAAATCATTAGCATGACTTTTATCTAAAATGACGAAAGTGTCATCCACATATCGGCGGTAAAATTTGACCGGGAACAGAACTTCTTTCAGCACTTTCTCCTCAACATGCTCCATAACGAGATTGGCAACACTGACGGATACCGGGCTCCCCATCGGACACCCGTTCACCTGATGATACGTCTCCCCACGGAAGGCGAAAAAACATTGGTTTAAGCAAAAACGCAAAAGTAAAATTATATCATCAACGTGAAGTGACGTGCGTGCTTTTAGGCTTTGATCATCAAGTAGACGCTCGCGTGCGACATCAATGGCAACATCGTTAGGAACATTAGTGAAAAGGGAAACTACATCAAAAGAAAACATGCCTTCATTCGGAAGGAGGGTCTGGGCGCGGACTAACTGAACGAATTCTTAGGAATTCTGCACACAAAGACTATTTTTCCCTGTCACCGGCGCCAGTAGCTCTACCAAATATTTTGACAGGTCGTACGTGGGGCTACCGATAAAGGATACAATCGGGCGGAGAGGACATTCTGGTTTATGCACTTTAGGTAGGCATATTTTTGGCCTCCATGTAAGAGGAGGAGAGCGAAGCTGCTTTTGTAAGAATTTTGAGTGACGGGCTAATCTTCTCTAATCTTCTGGGGGGAGAATAGCGACGACTGGGGCAAATCCGGGCGGCACAAAACGGGGCCCTGATAAGAGCGGAGGTTCTTCTCGACCTCCTCTCTGGTGGTCATCGGAGCGCCCTTTGAATGACGTCACGTGCAAGCCATGTATAGCGTTGTGTTTAGGTTGAACCCTGCATTTGCTGTGTAACTACTGATGATGCCTCCCGCATGGGAGGCGAAACGTCTAATGAAGTTGTTTTTTCTGTTATGTCAAGTCGGTGTACTTATTTTAATCATTATGTGAACATTTTCCTAACATTTCTTGTGAGGTGAATATTCGCATAATAAAGACCGAAAAGACCCACGTGAATTTTTTATTATCTTATTAGTAATGAAATTTGTGAGTAGATTTTTGCCACGCTTTCCTCCACGTTTTAATGACGAAAGAATGTATCTGGAAACTGACCATATCCGCGAAAACGCGGCGGACAATCTTATTACGTCGTTTTTGCATGGCCAGCCTTGCGCATGATATACCAGTGGGTACTGTAGCACGCCCGGGCCCTGCACATGTGCTTTACGTCTTGCTAAAATTTAGTAATTTGGTGATATTGAATGAAACTCGGCAAGTTTATAATTGAAACCATATGTTTATTATCGCAAACTAAAAGCTCTATTAAATCAGTTTTGTTTCATTATTTGAGTTATAGCAACGACTACTCCCCTAGATTATATGTCCCTGACCGTAAAACTCCCCTGCGCATATCGGATTAGCGTGACTTTCGTGGCTTCTGTATTAAGATATATTTTCGAGTTCAAATCAAGCCCACTGCATGTCCTTGCTTTCGAACTCTGCCAACCGGACTTGGACTCGTCCTCTCGACGATATCGTACACCGTCAAGGATACACGGAATCTTGCAGAGAGGGAAAGTGCCCCCGACGACAGACGAGACGACGGCAGTCACTGAGATTACACACACTCCTATCGAATATATTTGCTGCCACGGGAGTCTTTGGAAAGCGGTGCTCTTTCGAGGCGTTCGCAGAGCCTAGCGCCGCACAATGGACCACGTCTGGGCTCGTATTTTCATAGGGTGAGTTTTCGAAAATCCGCTCCTCTACTTGTAGGAGATCCTATAAACAAACACAAGCAGGGCTTCCCAACTGGGGTCCCGTGAGTGTTATAACGCGCAGCTTGCGCGTGAACATAGCTCTAGCAGGCTTGAAATTCCACGAGCTCGTCTGTACGAGCGGAGACAAGGCGGCGCCCAGTGCCCTTGCTTTCAATCGTCTAGAACTATATTTTTATGCATGTGGCAAGCAGAGCGAGCTAGCGAGCACCAGCTGGGAGCACGTAGAGTCAAAACTCGCTCGGATCCTGGGTTCAATCCCCACTCCTGCCCGTTTCGATCTGGATGAGCATCGTACTGGAGGGTGGTCGTGTGTCACTACTGCCTGGTGCATGTTAAGTACCACAGACTAGGGGTTTTACAGCACTTATTAAATTTCTGTTCAATACCTAAGACACAAGACGCCCATTCTGGCTGACTAACGTTCGACATTTAGACGTACATATAGCACTATTATTATCTCTGAACATAGGTTGAATGCGTGATTTGCTTTTGAACGAAGCAACGTCTTTATTTTTTATATAGCTCACTTTTGCTATGTGTCCTCAGTATGTAAATAATAATAAATAAAAAATTAAATTGCAACTAAGCTGATGAAGGTTATTTGTACTAATTGCTTTTGCCATAGACTTGGGTTTTTCTACAGGACGAAACAAACAGAGAGCATTCTGGAACAAAGTGGAATGTCATTGTGCACGACAGGCCCTTAAATAGGTGGCGATACTCAACAACAGAGAGAAGGAACCGGCCCTCGCTTTGCTTCTCGCCATGTGAAAGGAGGAAATCACCTCTCGCTTCCTCCTCGCCATTTTCCGACCTTTTTTCCTGACCGCCTGCCTGATCCCCTTTGTGGAAGATTTGGGTGGGTGCAATCAACGTTTGAAGGATTTGAAAGGATTATCCAGGGTCAAGCCGTCACCTCCGCGACAGGGAGCTGAACCAGCCGAGGCTGTTTTGAGCGAGCTTGGCACTTGCTCTCCCCAACGGTTCGATGGCTGTTTTTAGCGTGGGTTTGGAGAACGATTTCTGTTGTGAAAACACCAATAGCTGTTGCTTTATTCAAAGAAGTAGTCATTGAAGTATCAATTTTGTTCTAAATCTCTGATTTGTCATCTTTCATTGTTTATGTGAATTCATGGCGATAGCGGGAATTACGAGCGGCGTTTTTCGGTATCTCACGAATCGCGTTCCATAGACCATTGGTTCTGAACCACTCTACTTTGAGGACCTAAGTGACTTTGTTAGGCGCACCATTATCCTGTGTGAGGCTCGAAGACGTTAGACGCGATGGTTCGCTCGCCGGTATCTCTTTTCCAACGTACGCACTACACGCTCCACATCGTGTTTACGCGTTGAGTCGATACAGGCGGTATACTCTATAAGGCTTTGGCTTTATTACTGGTACTGCGTGTGGGAAAAGCCCCAACCAGCAAGAAGCTTGAGAAGTTGTTTTGTACGATAGATCAGAAAAATTTTTAATATCTTCAAATGTGCCTCCACCGCGAAAACGTATAGCATCGATTGTTAACGATTGGTTAATAATAAATTGTTAATAACCTCACACGACGAAAAACAATCTATCACTTGAAGCTCATAAAATAAAAAAGTAGGCGTGCGCGGGCACAGAATAATTGTAATTGAATCAAATATCGTTTTGAATAAAGTAAGCAAGCCGAATAGGTTGAATGCTAAATTTATTTTATTGGAAATCAAATGTTTTCTAGTTCTCGTACGAAAATAGCAGTGGCTATTCTACGTACGTAGAAAGCTTGGGACATTCAAAAATGAGTGCATGATGGGCCGGGCGCGTTATCACAGGGTATTTTGTCCTGTCATTACTGGTTATCAAAAAAAAAACAAAAAAAAAACGCCAGTTATATTACGTTGCAGACAGCTGATTTGGGTGTTTCTCAAGGAGCTCTAGAGCTTTTCCATTGACATTTCGTCTCTTTATACAACATTCAAAAAGTTAGGTAATTAATCTTAAACATTTATTTGCTTAGGGTTATTTAAAAACACGGCAGCTCTCGCAAGACGTTTGCTAACAACATAGAGTCGGTTAAATTCACGTACGGTGTCCAATTTTTAAGAGGAAAAAATTAGGGTGCGTTATTTCGGACACCCCATATTTACGTAGATTTACTTATGGGTGATTCGAGAAGGAAAACGTAGCTATGTTTTCAGTGATTATTCATTTTGGGAAAAATCACTGTACTCTGTTGAGCGATGGAATAATACACGGCAAGCCTATGACGATATGAAATGTATAAGTGTGTCCTGCATCGGAAGCCGACAGATTTCGGACTTCTGGTCTTTCTGTGTAAGTACTACCCGTTTGTCTCTATACTATTTTACGTCGTGTTTATTGTAATGAAAAAGAAAGAAAGATCGAAACTCATATTTACGCTAAAAAGTTCGTGCGTGAAAAGTTTGTACAGCGAAAAGTCTGCACACCGAAAGGTCTGCGCATCGAAAATTCCGTGCACCGCAAAGACCGCACCGAATCGCCTTACACCGAACCGTCACACAAAAACGCGGCAGCTCTCGCCAAAATGTCCAGATCCCATCCGAGGTGATGAGAGGGGGAAACGTATTGGGTCATAATGATTTCGTCAAAATAAATTTGTAATACTGAGAGCTAGTGTGAAGTAGACCTTTCACAGTTACGTATGGTGAAAGATATCAGCCAGAAGTTGGGTGCGTGCTTTCTATAATTCAAAAGATTAAAATTTTATAGCCTGGCTTGACTGATGAGATACGTTTTGCGGGTGCCTTGGCGGGCCTCAAAGAGTCCCTGCCACTTTTGAAAGAAAATAGAAAACAACAACCTAAAAAAAAAAAAAAAGAACAAAGGAAGGACGGGGTGGGTTGCGCCACACTGTCGAGCCCATGTGCGGCCTGACCACATGAAACCTGCTCTCAAAGTTTGGCATAGGCCGGAAGAGGATTTCAAAGCATTAGAAAGGATTAATTTCACTGTTGCAATCAAGAGACCCCACTCCCCTTTTTTTTCTTCGCACAGCGTTTTTTTTTTTTTTTTTGGTTTTTTTTTACGATTTTTTTACGAAAACCCATTCTGCATTTGCCTTACTTCAAATAAGTACATCCCGGTTTGAAACACACGAGCAGACACGGTGACGAGCTCTCTCTGCTGGCTGGCACTTGCTGGTTACAGCGAGTTCTGTAACAACCTCATTTCGCCAGCTGTTTGATGAACGATTTTTACTTTCGAGAAAACATCCAAGGCAGCAATACCCGGTACAAGGATTTCTCCTAAATAGCGGTGCGTATAATTTTTGGTTTAATTTCTAGATGTTTTTTTTTTTTTTTTTACTTTTGGTCAACACAGTGCTATATTTGTTTTCTCTTTACTATTTTAGCGACCACATCGACTAGACCGACAAGCATGGAGGTCCCTGAACCTTCTACATTCGTTTCGAGAAAGAGGATGAAAGACGGTAGCGTAAAAGAATACACGTGTCAGCGGAGCGCGTTGCGCCGCACCATCAGCTTGACTTTTTCGTCAGAAGATGACATCACGACGTTTGACACGCTCCTGAAAGGTGCGAAAGCTGCATATAAGGGTGATCCGCTTAGTGCAATAATGACGAGAGCCTTACAGTCCCTGTCTGAAACACCGCATGGTCATCACACCGCTCCTGCACGAGTAAGTGACGCGCTTGCGTTGTCATGCGAGTCGGCTTTGATTGTTTGTGACACGTCAGCGCTCTTCAAGATGCTTGAGACTCTGCAAGACCACAGGGAAAGTTGCCCAGAGACGCTTTTGCTGGAAAAAGTGACCTCCTGCGGATTCGGCTCCCGCCTCCACTGGACGTGTAAGGAACATTCTTTGACTGTTTGCTCTAGCTCCATAAGTGGGGACTCACGGACTGTCGATTGTCATCTCGCACTCGCATTTATATGCAGCGGTATGCTGCCGGTGCAGTTCCGGAAGTTTTGCGAGTTTAGCTCGCTGCCCTACTCTCCGAGGGCCCTGGAAAGGGCCACAATCAAGGTCAAAGCGGCAGTGGGCCTCTTGCGGATAGAATCCTTGACTGCAGCCCAGCAAGAAGAGTGCCGAGCAAGCGAGCCCCCATGTGCCTCTCCCATGATGAGCATTGAGACGGACGCACGGCATGCCTGCCGTAAAAACTCGTACCATACAGATGTCATTGCCCTAGGCCAGGAGACACACAAGATCGTAGGAATTGTGCATGTCACCAAAGATGATGAAATCTCGTCGCAGAAGCATGAAGTCGTGGGTACGAAGAAGTTGTACGAGTATTTTGATTCGAAAGGAATCGAACTGCAAGACCACGCCCATGACAGGAACACCTCCGTCAACAAGATCATCCGAGAGAGGAATGGAATTACAACGAACACGAACGACCGCTGGCACGCAGCAAAAAGTATAAAAAAGGGCATGATGACCATAGCCTCGGGACCAAAAAAAAAATGAAGGAAAAACGTGGCATCAGCAACTTTCAGACAAATGCCAGCCAGTACGCAACCATGTCTACTTCGCGATGGCCACCTGTGGCGGTGATGCTGACACCCTACGGGCAACACTGCTGAACTGCGTCAATCATTTTTCCGGTGACCATCGGTGTTGTGCTTCGGAATCACAATGCAAGGAGGTTGGGCACGTTCCGAGTACGCTGCTCGTTAAAGATCCCGTAGCTCTCGATCTCTTGACAAATTTTATCAAGTCGACGACAGTCTACAAGCACGCACACGATTTTGTGAGGTCGAAGGACACTTTCTACGTCGAATCCTTCAATAACACGGTACTCATGTACCTGGACAAACGCATCCACTACCAGAACGAGACATATAACCTAAGACATAGCCTCGCTGTGCTCGATTGGAACGAACACGTCGGACGAACGAGCACGTCGGCATACCGCATGGAGGATTGCCGGCACCCGGACAGGCAGGGTGGGAAGAAAAACTACTGCAAAAAA